TCTTTCTTGAGCTCTTTTTCTTTCAAACCCATCTCCCCATGTCTTGCATGGTCATCAGTGGTAGGTCAGGAATCAGATACAGAAATTTGTTAAAATCGAATTGATTTGTGAGTCAATTCAATTCCCTAAAGCTCTGAGGTGGGATTAATCTGGAAAGGCTTCCCCCAAAAAGTTGATTTGGGTTTTTATCTTTGGATAAAGAGAAACTTTCGCTAGACTTTGAAGGGAGACTGGGCCCAGCTCCGGCAGAGACACCAGGGCAGCTAGAGAGCTGCACAGATGGAGGAATGCACAAAAGGCAAGAGGGTGACTGGGGCCTGGGGGTGCTTGGGAAGTCACCGAGGGGACCAGACAGCAACGAGGACCATGTAGTGGGACTGGGGGTTGGAAATCCATGGTGAGCAGTTAAGAGTCGAATAAGAGCTTCCGCATACCTCAGGGGAGGTGATTTGATTCGATGAAGTCTTTTTATTTATTTATTTAATTAATTAATTCATTTTTAGTTTGAGCAGAGAAACACAGAGAGAGAAAGAAGGAAAGTGAGAAAGCAAGCCACCAGGTCTGAGACTTGAACCATGGTCGGCCATGTGGGAGTGTCCAGCACCTTAACCACCACGCCACCTGCTGGTCGAAGTCTTAAGAGGGAGAAAGGTGGCAGGAAGTTCAGAATCGTGCTTGTAGAGGTGACTGAAATGGGATGCTGGGGAAGAGCCCAGGAAAGGGCACAGAGGAGTTATCAGGTGAGGTGAGGTTAAGTGGGGGTGATGGCACTGAGGCAACCAGAGGCAAAGCTGGAGAGCAGCTGCAGTGTGCATTTGTAGCTGGTGGTTTCTGCGGGCCTACTGTGTGTTCCGAGACTGGGACCTTTCTGTATATCCTCAGAACTTAGCAGAGTTGACACTCTTTAACGATTTGTTGAATGAATGGGTGAAACAATAATAACATCTAAAATGGTTTTGAAGCTGTGGAAAATAGTGTGGCCATTTCTCAAACATAGAATTACCATACAATTCAGCACTTCCATTGTGCGATACATACTTCAAAGAATCGAAACAGGTGTTTATTTGTACACCGATGTTCATGGAGCACTATTAACAATAGACAAAAGGTGGAAGAAAACCCAACTGTCCACCAACAGATGAATGGGTAAGCAAAATGTGGTATATAATACAATGGAATTAATATTCCATTGTATAGCCTTTAAAGGAAGGATCTGACACTGCAAACATGGAGGAACCTGGAAAACATTACGGTGAGCGAAGTAAGCCAGTCACAAAAAGAAAAATACTGTATAATCCCACTTGCACGAGGCACATAGAATAGTCAAGACATAGGAAATAAATCAGAGGTTACCAGAGGCAGGAGACAGGAAGGAATGGGGAGTTATTATTATTAGTTTTTCTAATGTTATTTTGGTTTCTCTTTTTTTCTTCTTTCTTTCTTTTTTTTTTTTTAAAGTAGATTGCTCTTCTTTGTTTTTATTATAGTAAGAACATTTAACAGATCTACCTTCTAACGAAGTTTTGAATATACAATACAGCTGTTTTCTTTGGTTTTAGCCATAGGGTACTTGTGCTCACTGGAGAGAGCCAAAGAGCCAGAGAGAGGGGAAGTGGGAAATCACCCCCCCCCCGAATGAACGGCCACACTGCAATCCTTCATTCTGCTCTTGGGATTTGGGGTACACGCATACATGCCTGGCATGATTTTCAAGCCTTCTGGTCCAAGACTTGAACCGCAGTCAACCAGGTGGAGTGGGAGTCCTGTGCCTTAATCACTATGCCATCTGCTGGCCTCACTTTAATTAATGTGTGTAGAGTTATAATTGGAGAAGATGAAAATGTTCTGAGAATACATAGTGGTGATGGTTACATACACTATAAATATACTTAATGCCATTAAATGATACACTTAGGAAAATTAGGAAAATTATACAATTAGGAAAAATGGTAAATTTTATATGTATTTTATCACAATGAAAAAGAAGAAAGATTATAATCCTCAAATGTGTAAGAAATCAAAATATATCAAGTATGTACACTATGTTAAAACCTTTCTTAAGTCACCAATAAATTTTCATTCACATAATGCTTGCAAGGACCCTGAGACTCAAGCACGGTCATCCCTTGCTGTCCTCAGGACCCTGCACAGATACACAAATCCACAGATGCTCACGGCCCTATATACAGTGGTGCCGCGTTAGCACGTAATTGCTACATTCTTTCATACGCTTTAGATCATCTCTAGATTACTTATATTGCCTGATACACTGTAAATGTTATGTAACTTACTGTTATGCTGCATTGTTTAGACAAAAATGAGCAGGCAGAAAAGTCTGTACACGTCCAGTACAGACGTAACTAGCCAGTTCACACCAGAGAAAACCAAAAGTTTTCCACCTGTGGTTGGTCTCATCCATGCACATGGAACCCACGGAGAGCCAACGGTACTGCAGTTCCTCTGTGAATGCCAGGCACCAGGCTAGGTCCTTCACACACATTGCTTCTGATGGGGAAAACCCTGCAAGGTAGTTACGAGGCCCATTTTACAGATGAAAAACTGAGTCTCAGAGACGAAAAGAAACATACACAGCTAATGAGGTGCCTGAGTAGGCTAGAAATCCAGGCTTGCATGAACGCAGAAGTCACATGATTTCCTTACATCAAGTTATCTCTTCCAGCAGCGAGCAAGCCAAGATTTGGTGAATCATAGTGGTCAGTGGAGTTCACGGGAGGCATGTACTTAGCACTGTCTGTACACTCAGCCCTGTTCATATTACTAAGACCAGAGACATGTCTGCCCTCACAGAGTTAGCAGGTACACAGGTCTACACAGCAGGTATCAGTATGAAATGACCTCAGATTACAGGACTAACCCCCAAGGGCTGCTGGATCAAAAGGGTGAGAGTTTGAGTGGGAGTGAGATAGCTGGGAAGACTTCTGGACTCAGGGTTTCCCAGGAAGAAGTCCTTAAGCACATACTCTGTTCCAGGCGACAGAAAAATCTAACTGTTGTAAATATGACTCACACTAACACAAACTCACGATCTCTTCTCTGCAAGTCAGAAATGCAAACATCTCAGGAAAAAATACTTTGTTTTGTTTTTGTCAGCTCGCTAAATCTCATTTAGCAGCCAAACCTGACCTGACCTGACCTACTTACGATCTTTGCTTAAGTCCCTCCGAGTGCACATTGACACGTTTGCGGCAGGATCACACGTGTGTCTGAGCCCCTGCTCAGGGACCCACCGGAGGGTGTATGTTGGAGATGATCTTTGTACCACATTACCTCCTAAAATAGGAAAGCTTCTCATTCCGGCCCCAAGCGTTTGGGGTGTAACTTGTATTTATCATGTGATTGAGCATGTGAAATAGGCATTTTGCTGAGAGCTTTATCAACATTACCTTGCTTAATCCTCATAGTAATCCTACAAGGTTGGTCCTACATGCACACACACACACACACACACACACATCATATATATATATATATATACATATATATATATATATATTTTTTTTTTTTTTTTAAGAGAGAGTTTTATTTTTGCTATAGGGTTCATGTGCTTGCCAGAGAAACAGAAAGACAAAAAGCGAGAAATCACCCCCAGGGCAGCTGGCCAACCACAATCCCTTCTCCTCCATTCTTCTCTCGGGATTTTGGGCACATACACACATACACCCGGTGTGAGTTTGAAGCTGTCTGGGACTTGAACCACGGTTGACTATGTGCAAGTCCAGCAATGTAACCATTACACCATCTGCTGGTCTCAGGTAGGACCTATTCCTATTCCCATTTTGTAGAGGAGGAAGCCGAGACCAGAGAAGGTAAATAACTTGCTCAAGGCTACACACTTGTATGTCATGGTCCAGGCTGCATCTAAAGTCTTCCCGCTTGGCCAGTAGTGTCGCAGTGATGTCCTTGGTGGAAGAGTGTTTGGATCAAGGTGAAGATCAAGTCAGACTATAGAGGACCATGAAGGAAGGAGCTGGAGAGGAGATAAGGCCCAGGGGTGGGCTACCCATCTGGGTGTTGACAGGGAGAGGAGAGCAGGTGAAGTTCAGAAGGGATGTTCCAGGTCAGATGGGCCCAAGTGGGCAGGCAGAGGTGGGGATTTCAGAGGGGCTGGGCTCTCAGGGGAGCCTGGGCTCCCAGAGGCTGACCCTGGAATTTGGACAGCACAGGATCCCAGGGAGCCTGGGTTCCCTTCCTTGGCCTTTAACTTGTCACCTGCTTTCAGACACAAATGGCCACCTTCAGGCCTCTAGCCATTCCCCTTTCTGTTGAAAGAGGAAGCACCTTAGAAGGTCTCCCTGCCCCAGTCTCTGTGGTCTGCAGAAGGGGAACAAAGATCTGATTGGGATTTTTTGAAGAAATCTTGCTTTGATGTGGTCCACTCCAACTTCTTCATCTTCTGGTCTGACTGGACCATGGGTGCCTATGTGGGGACCAACTGAGGGGACTCCCTCAGCCAGGAACCCCTGACAGTGGAGTTTCCCAGCTCTTATTCTGTGACTCTTCAGGTGCCTCCAGTTACCTCCAGGGCTATGGGGACCTTCTCAAGGCAACATTTAAATATTGAAATAAACATTCTATGAAAATAAACCTATGGGGAAAAAATAAGCCTATACCAACCAGTATGTTTTTGGAGAGAGGAAGGGAAAAGAGAATTATTGTAATTTAAAAAGATGCCAGTGCTGTACTCTGAAACTACGGGCGATCAGGCAGTGAGTAGGAAGCCTTGGATCCTAGTCTTGGCTTCCTTCTTTCCCACCAAATAACTTTGGAGCTGCCTTTTTTTTTTTTTTTTTTTGAGAGAGAGGTTTTTGCTATAGGGCACATGTGCTCACCAGAAAGACAAAGACAGACAGAGAGACAGCGAGGAATTACCCCCAGGGGGGATGGCCACTCTGCAATCCCTTCTCCTCCATTCTCCTCTCAGGATCCTGAGCACGCATGCATACATGCCCAGCATAAGTTTAAGCCACCGAGTCTGGGATTTGAACAAGGGTCGACTACATGGGAGTTCAGTGACATAGCCATTATGCTAACTGCTGGTCCTGGAGCTGCCTCTTAAAGTCCTAATCAGATGGGGCTAAAGATGGGCCTCCCAAGGTAGCTGGGAGAATAAAGCAAGCTAGGGTCTATGGACAGGCTTTGTGAATGATATAGCATAATGGTAAGACGACCTGCTGCCTGATGTCTCCCTAGAGCAGAAAAACCCTACCGTCTTACCTGCTTTGATCTGCTTTTGAGATGGAGCAGGGATCTGATATGCATCCTTCAGGGCTACCCATATCCCTACTTCCTCTCTCTAGGCCTTGAGTCTCTGTTAGTAAGGCTAGGCCAGGCAGTGCTACAGTGACAAACAAGCTCCCAGTTTTCAGTGGCCTAACATAATCAAGATTTTGTTCTTGCTCAGATGAATTTGGGCAGAACCTCTTCCATCTTGTAGCCATGTCATCCACAGTGTGTGGGCTGTCAGGTCCCAGTGGCAGGGAACAGGAGGAATGGAGGAGGTACATCCTCTCTTCCACTGGGCCTGGAAATGACACATGTCACTTATAATCCAAGGGTCAGAATTAAGCACGTGATCCCTTCCTAACTGCAAAACTGAGGAGCACGTGGATCTCCAGTGGGTACAAATGGACTTCAGGGTTCTGCCATAGTCTACTCATCTGTCACATGTGAGGGTTGGACTCCATGACCCGGGAGCAGGCACCACCCCTCTCTGAACTTAGAGGATTGTGTGAGCCGGAGACCTGCAAGTTGAGGACCCATGGCAGGTGGGAGTGCCCTGGGTTACTGCACACAGCTTCCACAAAAAAAACCTGCACCCCTACCCCATCTTTCTCCATCTCTGAGCTCCCTCTCCTCTGCTGTGCCTCTGTGAACCCTCAAGTCCCAGTTATCTCAGTGTGTGAGGTAAAATGGCCCTCGCATCCCCAGGTCAGTGCAAATGTTCAGCTTTCTGAAAAAAATAGGGTCTGCCTTGAAGAGAGACTTTGAGGAAGTGCTAAAAGTCAGGTGGCTGGCAGGCTGGGATCTCTTGAAACCACTTGGCTCTGGGATCCCATCTCCCTCTCGCATCTTGAGAGGGGCCCAAGAATAATTCTAAAGACCTCTCCACTTGCCTTCTCTTATTTCCTCTCTTGGTTTGTGTATTTCCTACCCCTTTCCCAGTCTGGTGAGATCCACACTGAACACTAGAAAAATTTCAGTTGAGATGATTAAAGATGACTTATGCATATTTAAAGGCAATGTTTGCATTTTCATGTCAGGAGTATGTCATTTATATTGTATTTATATGATAGAACACATGCATGCACACATGAGAGAGAGAGAGAGAAACAGCCTCCACAGGATCTGGCCACACTGTGATCGCCTTTTCCCAGTCCTCCAGCCTGTTGCATCTTGTGCACTTGCACATATGCCTGGAGTGTTTCAGCTGGACCAGGCCAGGGAGTCTAACCACAGACACCATGTGGGTTCCAGCTTCTCTTGAGCAGTACATTACTGCTGTGCCCAAGCGGGCCCAAGATACGGTGTTCCTTCATTTCAGCATGAGCATTTGACAAACTCTCACCCAGTCTCAGGAGGAGGGACTGAAGGTGCTCAGCTCAACCTGTGCGACAGCATCATGTCACATGCTGCTGGTCTGACCTCATGCATGAGTTGTGTGGTCTTATGCCCATTTTAGGAAACGCAGTATCTACCTTGAATCTCTGTTCTGTCAAAGGATTCTTATCCTATGGCCATCCCTAGCCTCTCTGCAGGGACGTCGGAGGCCTCTGATACTGCTTCTCGTCAATTACTTGTTGCCATGGAGCCTGTAGCTAGAGCACACACCCTAACGTGGTGGGAGGTGCTCAACTCCAGGTGATTCTGCACCTCCATGTAGGCGCCCAGTGTTGCTGTGGTTGTCTAAAAATCTGGAACATTCTTTCCATCAAGAGTGGGACCTCTGCTCCTCCTCTTGTATTGGGACAGTATGTGACTGCTTTGATCTGTAGAGAATAGGGAAATAGAGGGTCTGGGACTTCTGAGGCTTGGTCACAGAAGACCCCCACAGCTTCAGCTTCTACCTGGTTCTTCTGGAGCACTCTTGGGAGCCAGCTGCCACTCCATGAGAAGCCCAAGCCGCATGGAAAGTCACATGTCGCTCTACAGGTGGCAGTCTCAGTTGAGCCCAGGCTTCAAGTCCTCCCAATGCAGATTCCAGACCTGTGAGCAAAGAAGCCTCAGATCATCCCAGTCACCAGCCATCCCCTGAATTGCCTACTTTTCTCAACTGAAGACGTGGACATGGTGGAGCAGAGGAGATCCACCCCTGCTGTGTGCTGTCCAAATATTCAACTCATAGGAATCCGTGAGCAGAAGAAAATGGTTAGCATTGTCCATCTCCAAGTTGTAGTGCTTTGTTCCATAGCAATCGGTAACCGAAATACCACCTTACTTTTCTTTTTTTTTTTTTAAAAAAAGACTTAAGCAGGTGGCGTGGTGGCTAAGGTGCTGGACACTCCCACATGGCTGACCACGGTTCAAGTCCTGGACCTGGTAGCTTGCTTTCTCACTTTCTCCCTCTCTCTTTCTCTGTCTCCCTCTGGTCAAATTAAAAAATAAATGAATTTATAAATAAAATAAAATAATTATTAAAAAAAGACTTAATTTTATTTACTGTTTTTGAATTTTGCTTTAGGGCATGTGTGCTCACCAGAGACAGAGAGACAGAGAGATGAAAAGTGAGAAAGCAAGTTGCCAGGTCAGGGGCTTAGAACCATGGTCTGCCATGTGAGAGTCTAGAACCTTAACCTCCACACCACCTGGTGGCCCCACCATGTTATCCTCCTGCCATTAGCATATAAAGATGGATGACTCAATCTCAGTTTTTTTTTTTTTAAGAGAGATTTTTTGCTATAGGGTGTGTGTGCTTGCCAGAGAGACAGCAAGTGAGAACTCACCCCCCAGGTGGGATGGGCATACCACAATCCCTTCTCCTCCATTCTCCTCTTTGGTACACACACACGTGCCCAGTGTGAGTTTTAAGCTGCCAAGTCTGGGACTTGAACCATGGTCGACTGTATGGGAGTCCAGTGACGTAACCATCATGCCATCTGCTGGTTCCTGCCAGCTTTTAGGCGAGAAGTCTCTAGTGGGGGGCTCATTCCTATTAAACCTCTTCAGTGACAACAGCAACAAGAAAGACAATGGGATTATTAGACAAAGGGACAGATAGGCAGGACATGGGGTAGGGATGGAGTCAGCATCCCGAAAGACCTCAAGATGAACTGCAGATGAACATGAGTCTTGCACTTAGCTTTTAAAATCCAAATGTGAAAGTGCAAGGTGAAGCAGGAGCAAGCCAGGCGAAGGGAGGGGTTGCCTGTCCCCGACAGGAGGGTGCATCGTGATTTGGAATGGCCTGCAAAACCCTACACCACACTGTCCCCATCCAACTGTCAGCATGGTCAGGGCCAGAGGCAGTAGGACCTTTGAAGTGCCATCCTGGGAGGTCTGGGCATGGGAGGACAGGACCTGGCTCTGGTGGAGGACTGATAGGGCTGGGGTGGCTGAGAGGACCCTGGTTGTTAGATCAGCCTACAGGATCTTCCCCATAGGAGAAGCGGGTCTGGGCAGCAGCCTTGCTGTACAGAGCTCTAGAGACCTGAGCCTGGGTTCTGGTATGTGTTGCTAAGGCCCAGCTCTCTCCGGGAATGAAGGAACACCCCCTTCTCTGAACACTGAGGTCTGACAGTTCTCCTGCTTTGCAAGGTTACTTTCTTGTTTTGTAAAAGGTCTCATACATTTCTCAGGGATCCTGTTGGATTTGGTATCTAAGTATGAAATCTTCTGGGGTGGACAGAGGGTTTGAAGACCACTCTGGGTTTGGGTGAAAGGACTGGTGTGGAATCAGATGGGAGAAAAATGTGAGGCTGGCTGAAAAGAGACTTCAAGGTATCCCAGTCAGGAACACTCAGGGCTCCTTCTCTCTCTGCGCTGGGGGGGGAGGTATCCATAACTCCTAGGGTCACTGCCTAAGGGTCTCCTCTCCCTACTCCCCACTTCACTTTTAATTGTATTAGTTAATTAATCAATTAATTGCCAGAGGGCATGTGCATGGGAGCGCACACGCACGTGAGAGAAATAACCACCATGGGGCGTGATCATGCCACAATCCATCCCATCAGGATTTGAGTTATGCATACGCATGCAACTGGTGAGATTTTTTAAAAAGGTTTTTGCCATAGAGCACATAGGCTCCCTGGAGAGACAGAGAGAAAGAGAGAATGAGAGGGAAAGTGAGAAATACCCCCACCCCCAGAGGGGATGACCATGCCACATTCTCTTTTCTTCTATTCTCCTCCTAGAATTTTGAGCATGCACGCACACGCACCTGGTGTGATTTTCAAGCCACTGGATCCAGGACTTGAAATGCTGTCAGCCACGTGGGAGTCCAGTGTCTTAACCACCACACCACCTGCTGGCCCTGCGTTGGTGTAATTTAGAAGCTGCGGGGAGGGTACTTGGTCTGTGGTAGGCCACAGGGATCTGGCCCCCGTGCACAGCACTCAACCACTGCATTACGAGCTGCTCCTCTGCACGCCACTGCTGCTAACATCGACACTGCTTCCTTTGCCTGATTTTTCACTTCAGCCCAATTCCAGGCCTCCATGTTAAAAAGTAAAAACAAAACCAAAACCAAACAAACAAAAAACACGAAGCTTTCAAAACTTAACGACTCCTTCATGGAATTTTCTCTGAGTAGATGTAGATGCAGTGATCACCACTGATGCACTGTGACAGTCAGACCCTAGGCCCCACCATCCCATGGTGAAGCTCTCCCAGAGAAGGCCGGGGGCCCTAGGCTCTGCCTCTGACTCCTGATGGTATAACTCTCCCAGAGAAGGCCAGGGAGCTCTAGACCTTGGCCACCTGCTCCATTCTTCAGAGGGATTTAGGACATCATTCTTCTAGTCATCTCTAGGACATTCTAGAGCATCCTACATCTCTGCTGCTATTTGGGCCCGTCATTCTGAGGTCGGCAGATACAGAAATTCACCTGTTTTTCTTCATCAGAGAGCCAATCTCTTATCAATGTTAAAGTTCTTCAGTTATCTCCTGATCTTTTCCTCTCCAGGCTAAACAATCCTGATTCCCACCGTTATCTTATAACCCAGTCATCCTGACATCATGACTTCTTTTGAAATCACTCCACACATTTCTCTCTCTCTCTCTTTTATCACCAGAGGGTGCGTGCACTTGCCGTAGAGAGAGAGCGAGCCCCACAATGAGATGTGGTCACACCACGACTCTTATTCCTCCATTTCTCCCTCGTCAGGATTTGCGGCTTATATGCAAAGGTGCCCAGCGTGTTTTTCAAGCCCCTGTTGTGGTCGGCCATGTAGGATCTAGCTTTCTCTGCTGTGTTTAGGTGTTGTGCTGTGGGGCCGGCCCCCATGACTCTTCATTGTTTTATATTGAGAGGCCAAGCCCTGTATAGAGAGACCAGTGAAAAGAAGGCTGTATGGCTCCTCTCTGCCTCTGCTCTTGGATTTCTGTCTAATACTAATCACTCAGATCTCCCCCATGTCACTGTCATCTGCAGTTCATGGCACACCCCTATGCCCCTATCTCAGTCCATCCGCCCTCCTTTGTGATCGTATTTCCACTGATTCAGGTGAAGCGTGGCCCACTGTGGTCTTCATTCAGATGATCTGTGTTATACCTGTGGGTAGATTTTGTAAGTAGGCCTTAACACAGGTTTGCTTGTGGGTTTCCTTTTAAAAGGTCAGTGTGAAACAGGAAATGTGACTAACAAAGTCTTCTTCCTCCATGAAGCCTCACTTCATTAGCTGGAAAAAAGGCGCCTGCCCCTCTCCCCCCAAGCTTACTCATGGCCCAAACAGAAACATTTCAAAACAGCACATATTTCCCGAAACCCTGAACCACGCATCCTTAGGCTCATGTCGTGTAGTGAGTGCTTGTCAGGTCTGCTCCGTCTGGGGGCCGGTCCTCACGCCAACACGTGCTGCTGTCACTGCTGTGCACAGAATCCGAGAGTGGGCAGGGGCCTGAGGGAAGCCTCGTGGCTGACCAACGAGCAGCCCAGAGCCCGGGAGCTGGAACAGCGGCAACGCTCATGGGGAGAAGTAAGGACAGAGTCAGAATGGCACCGGGGCTCCCTGATCCTCAAGCCTCATGCCCCAGTTACACCACACACTGAGTCCCTTAAGTGTCTGGAGGGTCTCTGTACCTTTCTTGTAGTCCATAGTCAGGTGAGGTTGCAGTGTAGACGTGTGGTTGCCAGGACACGATCCTGGGTACATTAATCTAGGAGTGATGGTCTTTCTGGAGGCCGCGGTTGCTCCCATGGGTCATCTGGTTTGCAGCCTTGTTTTGGTTTTCCCATCCATAAAATAGAAAACCAATAGCACTTGCCTTCTCGGGTTATGATGATCTGAAAAGAGAGGAGCACACAGAAAACATCGAAGACAGTGTTGGCGTGTGATCACTCCCTAAATGTGAGCTATTATTATTCCGGTGGGTTGCTTAGCTTTCCTCCATTCTATTCAGCTCACTGAGAATTTGGCACCAACCACAGGCTTAGCTGGGGCTGTGAAAATGGCCACATTGAGGCTTTACCTTAACCCTGCTGGTCTCCCAACAGCCAGAAGTTTGTCTGAAGAAGAGCTGAAAGAAATGACACTGACGTCCCAGTCAGCCACGGCGGGGCTTACGGGCGTCTTTTCCAATAGGTTGGGAGGCAGGGAGCCCATCTCTGCGATGGTCTGTTTCAGGACTGCGTGGGGCCCGCTCCCAAGGACTGGTGCCGCGGCTCAGGTCCATTCTGGTCTGCGACCGGTGCTGCTACAGAGAGCATGGATCGAGGTGCAGGGGCTGGGGCTCCAGGTGCTGTGGGAGAACAGGATGCTATAAGTGGGAGCCATGTCGGTTTGAGGGAGCAGAGCCTCCCAGCTATACTCATCCTTTCACCCTCCGCTCTCTCACCGTCTTTGTCTATGCTGGGAAAGCCCTGGAGGCGGGGCAGGGAGTAAAGTTGAGCCCCAACCCTAAAGGTCAACTTCTGAGTTTTGAGTTGCCTCATTCTGCCCAACACCTTCCTGAAAATGTAGTCTTGCCTCACCAGGGGAAGCGTGGGACCCGTGTCAGCAGGAGCTATAGGGAGCGAGCCAGGGCGAAAGCTGCATGAGTGGGGGAACTCAGTGGGGCTGAAGTCTAACACTCTCTTTTATTTTTTTAGTTCTTATTTATGATAGGGTATGTGCACATAGGAGAGAGAACTCTCAACAGAGTCTTGTCATGGCGCAGGCCCCCCCTTTCCAGCTCCCCAGGTTCTTGAGTACTCACACACATGTGCCCAGCATGTCTTCAGACAGACCTGGGGATCTGAACCCCTGGTTGGCCACGTGGCTTCTAGGACTGAGCTACAGACTACAGCACCTAGGCTGGGCCAAACTTGTATGTATTGCATATGTGCAAGTGGTTTGCAGCAGTCTGCACTCTCCCTGTGCACACGGGAACCGTGTGGCCTTGTCAGTCCATGGCTGCTCTCTTTCCCAACTGCCTTCCCACCTGGGCTGGGGAGTCCCTTTCAAGGAGTTGAAGCAGGTGTGCCCAGGTGTAGACACACCCTTTCCACTATTGTCTACTATGTAATAAAAACATTTTCTTTTCTCAAGTGTGTGTGTATACATGTGTGTGTGTGTATACCTGTGTGTGTTTGTGTATGTATATTGTATATTTTACCATAGGGTGTGTATGCTCACCAGAGACAGAAAGACAGTGAGAGGGAAAGTGAGAAAGTGGGAAATCAACCCCCGGAGCAGATGGCCATGCTGCAGTCTCTGTTCCTCTGTTCTCCCTTGGGATTTTGGGCATGCACGCACACGTACCCGGCGTGATTTTCAAGCCCCTGGGTCTGGGATTTGAAACGTGGTTGACCACGTGGCAGTCCAGCACCTTAACCACCATGCGACCTGCTGGCCCCCTCTTTTCTGAAATGTTCTTGATGATTAGATGAGCGGTGTTGCTTGAATGCACTGGGTGGGCATTTGCCAGTTAGTTGGCTTCCTGCAAGTGGAAAGGGTTGATGACTTCTTAAAAATTTGCTCTTTTCCTAAATGGGATCAAAATAATCCTTAGGTTTTTTTGTTTATGGATTCTCTATCTGGAATCTAATTAGTCTTAAAATAGCAGGTAACCAAACTTTTCACTGATTTCTAGCTGACTTGGAATGAAATTAAGTTCCTAAGTAAAAGAATTGGGGGAGGGCAGGATAAATACACGTGAGATTGGTACGTGTTTCCCACTTAATAACCCCGTATTTAAAAACATAACACCTTGATTTTCCCATTTCTTACTTTTCCCACTTCTCTCCTTTACCTTTCTGAGTCCTCATGCAGATCTGGGAAGAAACAGCAGGGGGAGAAAACAGGAGCAGGTCTGGGGATTTGAAATGGGGAAAAGCAGACATTTCTAGCTCCCAACATCTGATTTCCTGAATATCTTCTGAGCTCGAGAAAATGGCTCTCGGTTGCTGTTGCAGTCTGGAAGCAGCTCCTGCTTTTCCACCAGCCCCTCCAGGGCCTTAGTTCCAGCCTGGGGAGCTTCCAGCACTCCCAGCCCTGGGCCGGGTTGGGATGAAGTTATGTGCTCAGCGAGGGGTGGGAGCCTCACACCCTAATGGAGCTGAGCTGGCCACACTGCCTGTCTCTCCCAATTAGTTCCCCAAAGGGAACAAAGCCTTATTTCTTTCCTCTCAGTTCCCAGGCACTGGCTGGGGAAAAACAATCCTTGGCAGCTCAGGGGTTAAAAATAAAACCCAGCGAGGGGGAAAACAAGACAGGCAGCTGCAGCGGCTCCTCAGAGCCTACTCCAGGCTGAACAGAGGCCCAGCAACTCCTTGGAGACTTGAACCCTGGGCGACGGAATTTTCCCTTGCACGGACGCTATTGTCCTCTAGAAAGGGCCAGGGCTCGAGGAGGGCTTGGGGAGCACTGATGTCCCCCAGCCGCAGCCAGGGAACTCCTGAGAGCCCAAGGGCTCTGTCCCACCCAACTGGGCTTGGGTGAAAAGGCAACAGGGGTGCAGCCCTCTCCTCCCCCTTTGGGAAAAAGGAGGGTTTGGTGGAGGCCTTCTAAAGGCCCCGGCACCAGTTGTTGCCCCACTCCTTAGCCCCGACCATCCAGCCACAGGGATGGAATAAAAGGCTTGGTTCCCTTGGCAACAGAGAGGTCTATGGTTTTTCATAGAGTACGAGATGGGCTTGAGGGAAGAAGGGAGGTGGGGAAGTGTTGGGGGGGGAGCTGGGGAGGGTTGTGTGTGTGGGGGGAGTAGCCTGTTTACCAGTGCTGCTTGAGTGTGAGTCTCAAGGGAAGCTGCTGTAGATTCTGGCCTGGGAGGTACAGGATACCCTCAGTGTGGGGAACGCTGCGGTGGTCCATGGTGGGAATGCCATTGTGCAGACCTTCACGGTAACACCATGGACAGCCTAGGTGAGTTAAGGAAAGGCTACCTTTCTAGGTAAGGAGGCCTGGCCCTGTTTTATAACTGGAGACCCCTGCAAGTGTTGATAGGCGCTCGAGCCCATAGAGAGCTATTTGTGAAGCGGAGATTAGAGTAGCAGGCGCCTGTGCCCTGGGCCTGATCTCGATGGACAGACCAAGCTATTTTTAATGTCCAATAGGAGAGTTGCTGAAATCTGGACACAGTGCAGAGCCTGGGCTGACTTGGTCTCGAGCACTGGACGATGTGAGGGGAGTTTAACGTCTCTCATACCTAGCAGCCGCGTTTAGCCTCGGTGAAAACAAGTGATAAGGGATGGGAGACCTTGTCCCAGCATGTTGTCAGGGGCACAGAGGTGTATGGGACTCGGCAAAACCACCTTGAGGTTTTCGACTGTGAGGGCTTCCAGCCTGGCACTGACAGAAGTGCCTTTTTTTTAAGAGAGGTTTTTGTTATAGGGTGTGTGCGCTTGCCAGAAAGACAGAAGACAGAGAGACAGAAAGTGAGAAATCACCTCCAGGGGGGATGGCCATGCTGCAATCCCTCCTCCTCCATTCTCCTCTTGGGATCTTGGGCACACAGGCACGTGCACCCGGCATGAGTTTAAGCCACCAGGTCTGGGACTCGAACAGTGTTGACTACATAGGAGTCCAGCGACATAGTCATTATGCCAACTGCTGGTCACTCTGGCTCCTGTTTTTTATTTTTAATAAAAATAATTTGAGGGAACCAGCAGTTAGTGTAATGGCTATGTCGCTGGACGCCCACGTAGTTGACCGCGGTTCGCGTCCTGGACCCGGTGGCTTAAAACTCACGCTGGGCGCGTGCGTGTGCGTGCGTGCCCAAGATCCCGAGAGAAGAATGGAAGAGAAGGGATTGCGGCGTGGTCATCCCCCCTATGGGGGGGCTTTCTCACTTTCTGTCTCTATGTCTCTCTCTCTCTCTGTCTGGTGAGCGCACGCGCCCTACAGTGAAAATCTCTCCAAAAAAAAAAAAAAAAATTGAAAACTCCTGAACCACATATTGATTTATACTATTCATCTCTTTTCTTGGGCCAACAAAGCAACTTTTGGACTAAATTTCCTTTGTTCCATGCGGTAGATAGCATCATACTTTAAAGGCACCACAAAAGGGACTTCTGAAGACCAGCAGTTAGCGTAATGGCTATGTCGCTGGACTCCCATGTAGTTGACCGTGGTTGGAGTCCTGGACCTGGTGACTTAAACTCCCGCTGGGCGCATGTGCGTGCGTGCCCAAGATCCTGAGAGGAGAAGGGATTATGGCGTGGCCATCCCCCCCCACTGCCCGGGGGTGGGGGTGGTTTCTCACTTTCTGTCTTTCTGACAAGCACATGCGCCCTATAGCAAAAACCTCTTAAAAAAAAAAAAGGGAACCAACCAGTGACTTGGTGATTAAGGTGGATCCCACATGGCCAACTGTGAGGTTTGAGTCCTGGACCTGGCATCTTGAAAAACATGCTGGTCATAAGTATGCATGCCCCAAATCTTGACAGGATTTTAAATGGAAGACAAGTGGCGTGACCACCCCCCAGTCTCTCTCTGTCTGTCTCTCACCCTGTAATGCAGTGGGTAAGCGCTGTGCAGAGGCAGCCAGATCCTATAGACAGAAGTTGGAACTCAGGCCCAGGAGGCTTGAAAGACAGCCTGGGCAAGTGTATGCATGCCCAGGATCCTGACAGGATGGAAAATGGAGGTAAAAGGATTGTGGTGTGATCATGCACCTTTGGGGAATTTTCTCTCATTCTCTCTCTCATGCATACACACATACCATCTGGGAAAAAAGAAGAGAAAGAAGAAAGAGAGAAAGGAGAAGGAAGAAAGAAGAAAAAGAAAGAAAGAGAAAGAAAGAAAGAAAGAAAGAAAGAAAGAAAGAAAGAAAGAAAGAAAGAAAGAAAGAAAAAGGCAAAGATAAACAGAACCCTTATCCGGTGTAGCCAGGTAGTTCTTGGGAGACAATATCAGGGTTCGGTAGAAGGGCTGAGGGTCCTCACCTTTTGCCTGAGAATCTGGGATGGGGAGGGGGCCTGGGGTGAGGTCCCTGTGCTTTTCTGAGGGAGTGTCCAGGGTCATCACTGTGAAGAACTTCCTCACACACAGCAGGGTCAGTTCCCTCAGAGCTTGTCTCCAGTCTCATCTGAAAGACAGCATTGGAGGAAATCGAGAGGGCAGAGCCTGAGCTAGGAAACACCTGGGTGGCAGGTCCCTGATAAGGAAGCAAGCCTGAGATACCACGCAGCTGCTTTGCATACATGACCTATGGCCAATCAGACGGCCACCTGCTTTAATAATCATAATCAAGTGATAATAATAAAAAGATCAAGGCATCACTTATCACCTAGTTAATTTACTTACTGTGTGGTGGGCTGGCAGAGACTCAAATCTAGGCAATACAGGATAACAACTCATTTAGAAAACTGGGAATGGCAACTCAGAGCAGAGAATCTGACATGAATGCCCTTCTATAATCGCACCTCACGTTTATGCCAAGTCAGTGAAGTTATTACTCCCCTCTTAGAGATGAGTAAACCGAGGCCTTGCTGGGTTAGCCGCCTTGAGCAAGATCACATAGCAGAAGGTAGAGAGAACTGGGTTTTAAATCCGATCTGATTATCCTGGACCTGTACACCAGCTGACAGTCACAAAAGCACTTTCAGATATGAAATCTCACTTGCTTCTCAAAACCGCTTATGGAGGCAGGAGATTGTTCCCCTTTACAGCCACAAAAGCTGAAGGTCATGGAATTAGTGACTTGTCCCAGTCACGAGACTAGTCTGTGGTAAACTGTGACTGCTCTGGGACTTCCCCTCTGTGCCTAATCTCAGGCTCCATTCTTAGACATCCAGAAGATTTTAATGTCTGCCATTCACCCGTTCATTTCATTCAAACATCCAGCTAATATTTGCTTAGTATCTACTGTGAATAAGGCATTAAAGGGAATGGAAAACAAATTAGATTGTTAAGAAGCTCCTATGAGTAAAAGGAGTTATGTAATGCCCCTGTCTTGTGTATACGATTACAACTGTCGGTGTTTTCCAAAATCAGTGCATTGCTATATTTTATTCCATAAGCTGATACAGTTGCAACTGGGAAACTAAAACACTAAGAACAACTGATCACCAATATTTCCTAGACACCTTACTCCTTAAAATGGATGGAGTAATTCCATAAGTTTGGCCCAGCTGTGGTGGCGCAGGCAGTCGTGCATGGATATGCGGTGCTGGAAGCCATATGGCTGACTGTGGGTTCAAATACTGAGTTGACTTCAAATGTACCAAGCGGTCCTGAAACATACCAGGTGCGCACAAGTCTAAGACCTTGACCAAGGGAATTATGGCACAAGACCCTGTCCGTGGTGCCTCTCTGTCTCTCTTGTATGCTCTCTCTCCCATGCTTTCTTTTTCATGAAATAAATAAATAACTCCCAAAAAATCAGTAAGCTTTGGCTGAACTGATGGTGACACCTGAATGGAACACTTTTGATACCTGGAGGCAGTGGGAAGAGTTTTGCCAAGTCACCTTTTGACTATCCACAGGTGCATGGCTTTTCAACTTAGCTAACATTCCTGTCTCCCCTAGTCCCTGAAGGCTCCATTGTCGGGGGGGACCCTCCTCCCCATATCTGATTTCATGGCTCAGCTACTTCCTGGACGGGACCAAACACTTACCGAATACCTGAACTTACACGGGCCACATTAGTGTGTGTGCATGCTGGCCCTGTACCCTGCTCACCTGTCTGTAGGGACCATGGACTGAAGACTATTTCTCACATGGAACTGCTATGGGGGAACCAATATCACGAAGTGATGAAAGTTGCCAGAACATGTACAGAGAAGCAAGACGCATTCAAAGACAAGGAGAAGCCCTGGAAGAGCAGATAGTATCAGGCGGGCTGATGAGCAAAATCCCCATGTCTGTCCATATGTCCAGATGGGCGTTAAATCATGAGGGTCAAGGTGCAGAGGGGAGAGAAACGAAGGAGGTTTTTTTCGGTTTTGTTTTTAATTGCCAGAGGGCATGTGCACTCACCAGAGACAGAGAGACAAAGAGAAAGGGGAAAAGCACCCCCAGGGGGCATGGCCACACCACAATCTCCTTTCCTCCTATGTCCATCCTGTTGGGATTTGGCACACCAACGCACATGCACCAGGTATGTTTTTCAGGCTGCCATGTCCAGGATTCAAGCCATGTGGTTGGACATGTGGGATCCAGCCACTTTAACCACCATGCCACTGGCTGGCCCAGGGAAAAGACTATCAAGATTTATTATCTTCTGTGTGAAGCAGCATCATGATTTGTCCTCACCATTCTTCATGGAGTTTCTCCTCACATATTTAAAAACATGGTGTTTTCATTTTTTTAGTTTTTTATCATAGGACATGAATGTTTGCCAGAGAGAAACCAGAGACAGACCAGAGAGAAGAAAAGTGAGAAATCCCACCACCACCACTACCCCCCGGGGTGGAGGGGGATGGCCATGCTACAGTCCTTTCTCCTCCATTATCCTCCTGAGATTTCGGGCAGGCACGCACACACACCTGGCATGATTTCCAAGCCCCTGGGTTGGGGACTTGAACTGTGCTCGACCACGTGGGAATCCAGTGCCTTAGCCATTATGTAAACTGCTGGCCCCAAACATTGTGCATTTCTGCTGGGTTTATTTTTTCTCTCTCTCTCTTTAAATTTCACCTAGCCATTTTTTCCATCGGCAAGAGACACTGACAGGGAAAGACAGAGAGATAGCTCCCCAACAGGGTCTTGATGCTGCAGTCCAACTCAGTCCTTCGCCAGTTCCAGATCATGGGCACATACGTGCCCAACCTACTCAGGAAGGTCTCTGGACACAGAACTGGAACTTCCTACATGGGTCAGCCTTGCATGGCGTTGTGGTTTACACTGTGTTTTACCACTGTGCCACCACTGGGCCCCATTTTTTTTTCCTCTTTAATTCTATGAAGATTCATATTCAGAATTTGACTTCCGCAACAGAAATATGCTAGGCACACTAGACAACTTTTCTATGGCCAACATATCCCTCCTCACTTTTTGGTCACCTCTTCTCAGGTCTCTTGTTAGACACTTCCAGATGGATAACATCCAACCATCCAGACGTGAAGACCCACAGGTATAAGACGTCAGTAAGGTAAAATGAAGGCTTTTCCTGCTCCCTCTCTGATAATGGCCACATGAGTCTAGAGACAAGGGTTTACTGAGCACGCACGAGGCTGATAACGGTCACAGGTAGCATAGGTTCATTTGATAGAACCCTTAAAGTCTACATATTTTGCCTTTTTCTGTTGTGTGTGTGTGCGTCTTTCTCTTTGTTTTTGTTAGTCTAATAGCAAGTCAGTAAAAGATGAAGAGAATGGAGGAGGAGAGGCAGTGAGAAAGGTCACCGTGTGGTCTTGACCGTGTTTTCATCACAAGAGAAAACTCAACTGGCGGTTTGTGTTTGTGGCCTTTATCTTCTCTTCTCTGCTTTACAAACTTGACATAATGGAGTTCTCTAATTTAAAAACAGAGCAACAAATTTGAAAAAGTACTTACATTTTCATTTGAAAAAATGCAAGTTTATAGGCATGGTATTTGTCCTGGAAAAAGCAATGTTGTACACTGTAAAGATACATATAGTGGTTAAATGTAAATTAAGGGAAAAAAAAGAATATATGTCAGCTGCTCACAGAATAGCTAGACCTAGAATAAACAAATCAATATACAGTGCAATGTATCCTAAGAATATCTGTGATCTTACGTACATCTTTTTGTGCTACCCCTCGAAAAAAAGGAAAAAAAGCTATGTAAAGAAACTGTAACTTCGTAAAATGATCAAAACACATAAATGCTTTGTAAATTTGGTAGGCTATTTTCTGAACAACTTGTCCATGGCTAAATGGCTAGTTGGCTGTATTCCAGTGTGGACAGAACAGAATTCAGGTGTGCCTGACTTAAAACCCAGGCCCTTCCCATGATACCGTAGCAGAAATTTACCACTTAGAGCTTGTGCGAATGTTATCTGTTGAGAATTGCAGGAGCAGGTCACATGGCTTTCAGCACTTTATTACTAAATTGTTTCTCTATGCTCTGAAACACCGCATGGCTCCTGCACAATCGTTAATTTTCATAACAGTTCTTCTGTCCCAAATCTCCCGAGCCCATGAATGAATCAGCAATGAAAAAAATCAGTGGCATAATAACAGCGACTGTTTCCTGGATGCCATGCGCCAGGGACTGGCATAAGGTTTGAACTTCATTTAATTAATTTAGTCCCTGCAACAATTTTGAGGTAGGGTCTAGCCCCATTCGCTAGGTGAGGAAGGGCGATTCAGAGATGCTAAGATTCTAGACCTAGTAAGTGGAGGGGCTGTGATGAAGAAAAGCCTAGTTAGGTGTAACTTGTTATTCTGTATGTTAATCTTTAAAATCCAATCACCTCTGTTGAGGGTACTAAATCTATACATCGAAAAAAACGAGAGTGCTTTCTTCCCTCCATTTTTCTTGAAGTGTGTGTGTGTGTGTGTGTGTGTGGGGGGGGTAAAGTTCCCAACTGTTCAAAAAAAAATGTTTTTTTTTAAGCCAGAAGGTATATGTACTTGCATGAGAAAGAGAGACAGAAAGTCAGAGACAAAGCACGCCCCAGTGCGGCCGGTCATACTGCAATCCTTTTTCCTCCAGCTCTCCATCCCGGTCAGGAGCCGGGGCATGTGTGGGCCCTGTGTGTTCTTCAGACTCACAGGTCAGCCACGAGGAATCTGGCTTCCTCCAAGCAGCACCTAACTGCTGTACTACAAGGTCAGCGCCCCCCAAACACACACACACCTCTGTTTATGAGCCTCTTAAAAGAAGAGAATAAGAGCGAACGCTTGCATTGACTCAGACTCAGAGCTGACTTTATTCTATAGGCTTCTACAGTTGAACTGAGAGACAGTTTCTGAAAGAGCTGCAGATTGCAAGCCTTTCTTATTATGCACCTTATCAACTGCCCCTTCTCCTGGAGCCCTTGTGAGACTTTGTATTGCAGTTTGGATTGTGAAGGCTCCAGAGGAAATCTTCATTTCTTCGCAGGTCTTGGGGGGATCATTTTCCATATTAGACAGAGCATTGTACATTCATGAGAGGGCCTCTCCCCCAGACATGTTT